TGAGTGAGAGAGAGAGAGAGAGAGAGAGAGAGAGAGAGTGTGTACTTGTGTGAGTGAAAGAGTAAAATACTTTTATTAATTTAGGAATTTTAATTGCTTTTGAAAACTTAAACTATTATAATAGATGGAAATACAGTACATAGTTTACAATGTTCACTTTTTAATACTTTGTAATACTATTTAAATAAATATTCTTTATATTAATTAGCTGGGCTGATGATGATAATAAACACTAAACAAGTACTAAATGAAAAACTATTTATTTAAAGCCTGCAACTAACCATGTTTTTAAATTATAAAATAATAACTAAGATTGTGTTTTATTTATATAATAAACAAATCCAGTAAAATATTTACTTATAAGTTTGTATTTTTAATTTAATAATTAAATAAAATAACTAAAAACCTAAATTAAACCTAAATTATTATACATTGTACAAGTGCTTGGTGGCTAATAAATTATAATCATATTTAAAAATAAATATTAGCAAATTGTTTTTTTTAATTTACGTTATACCTATTGTAAAATTTTTATGAATTAAATGCTAGTACAATTTATTTGAGTTTACATGTTATCTGAATTAATTACATTTACAAAATAATTATTATATTTACACACATTTTTGTACATTATTGTAGTAATTTGTATTTTAATATCTTATTATTTAAACAATAAGTGTACTGAAACCTAAATTTAACTCATCAAGGCTACATGAAATTTAAATATATTTCACGTGTATAGAGTCTATTAATTTCCGTAGATTCACCTTTATAATTATATAATTATTTAATAACTAAATAATTACTATAATTCATTGAAGTATTACAGAAGTAAGAAATAATAATTTAGAGAAAATAATTGCCTGGTACAATTACAATTATATCATCATTATCACTAAAATAATGAGCTATTGTAGTGGGTGGCACAATTAGATATGATTAATTATGTTAAAAATAATTAGCAAGTTACTCTATAAAAACATTCACATATTTAAAATAATTATCAAAATAACATTTTATTTAATATTCTTAAAATAAATCAGATTATCATAAATAAAATAATGTTTAGAAGTAGCTTGCTAGTATTTATTATGGCTATTTATGTGACCATGGTCACTTGTAACCGTTGGAGTGAACACTGGAACAAATACAGTCAGGAGGAACGTGAATGGGCAAGGACAATGTTTTGCAGTAAATACTTATTTGTTATAAGTTTAAAATTAATAGTATAATTAAGTTAATTTAGTATTTTTACTTGCCAGTATTATAACAAATATTTTTATATTTAATTAACAACTGTATTTTGAATAATTATCTATCAAAATATAGTAACAATTTATTTAAACATTTTATTATGGAGAATGAATAAAACTCACTTTATTATTTTAATTTTTATTAGATTTTAAAATAAATAACTGATAAATACAAATAAATTATACTAATATAATTTTATTACATAATAATTAATAAGTATGTTATGTTAAATGAAATTCAAGTTATAGTTTGCATCATAAGTCATTTAACTTTAAAATAAAACTAATGAATAACTTATACCTAAACTGTAACTTAAATATACTTCTAAGTATTATTAAGTATTATACAAAAACATAATAATTATTATGTAACAAAAAATTGGCAACTATATTTTACAATACATATTAATGTTAATAAATTTTTTCAAAGGTGATTGCGAGCATATCAAAGGTGATATGGACAGGTATAACGAGTGCGCCCATAGGGAGTACCCGGATCACCATAAGAGACTACTGGGTCACCGGCAACACTACCGTAACAATAGAAACACCGGTCATAAGGACTGTTTCCGTGAGTTTCAGGCGTCGATGAACTCGTTTAGCGCCGACCACTACAGTAGGTTTGACGAGTGTTTCCGGAAGAATGTTAACCGGGGTCATATTAGTCACTGCTCACATCACCAGTATGATTGACATGATTAATTAATTAATATTGTATTTTATTTGAATAATATTGTGCATGACAACAAATTGTTAATTACTACAGTATAATCGTAATATATTTAGTTATGATTGTTATAATATATTAATTAAATTTATATATTTATAGAATTTAATTATTTGTATTAATTTGCAGAAACTAATTTTATTCAATAAATAGTTGTGGACAATTTGTTAAGAGTTGTAATTATTTAAATATAAAATAAAGTATAGTTTAGATATAATATAATTTATTAAATGTAAAATATTTGTTTTATTTTTTTAAATGATACTATGTATAATAAACAAAATTTGTTAAATTAATAAAATTAAAATATAATTTATTAAAGTTACTGGTTAGATGGTTCATTATTTAAATTACATTAAATGTTAAATTTTATATGCATACCTTTTTATTTGTAAATATATCATACATAATAAATCTATTTTACTTTTTAAGTAATTACATTTAGTCAAAAGTATTACTGTACTTTCAATATTACTGTTTTATCAAGGTCAAGTGGAATATTATTCACGTTAGTAATGCATAATAGATATGTTGTCATAACAATTGTTTTAAATTTTAACAATGAATTTTAATTAACTATGTACCAATGCATATGATTAATCAAAACAAAGTATCACGATCAATAAACATGTTTTTTAAATTGATATATTTATAAAAGTTAAAGTATATAATTTTGCACCTATTACCTTACAAAATGATTAAGCGACAAGTAAAAATAAATTACAATTACTGTTATATGAGTTAATTTGTGTTTATAAGCACTCTTGTTTAACGATATTTATTTAAACTCATCCTGTTCAAATGCACGACAAACTATCAAATGTCACGAAATTAGATATTTATATACATCACGCTATATTACAATTAATTAGTTACTATATAAAACAAATGCAATTTGCTTATATTCACTATTATAAGCAATCATATTAGTATTAGTAGTCACTAAAATAATATACATTCGTAATTTTAAAAATACTACCATAAATATTTTTAACAATGTCGAACATGTCTATAATTGGGATCGTGATTATGTTGGTCATATCAATGATGTTGGTAAAATGCAACCACCACCACCGTGAAAGTTCAAGATCGGAAGGTTCAAGGTCGGAAGGTTCAAGATCGGAAGGTTCAAGGTCAGAAGGTTCAAGGTCGGAAGGTTCAAGATCGGAAGGTTCAGGATCAAACTGGGATGATAACTGGAATAACGAATACAGCGAGGACGAACGCAAATATGCCAAGATCATGTTTTGTAGTAAGCTCAATTTAAAAAATTATATATATTTTTATGAAATTGCATTTATATTTAATTTTATTAAAATATATGCGTAAAAATATTTTTAGCTCTGTTAAAAACTATAAATAAGATTTACAACAACAACAAAAATAAATTACTTTAATGATAGAAATTACAGTTTATTTAGCAACATAAATGACCTAGAATTTTTTTTAATGTTTTTAAATTTATTTTAGTTTATAAACTATAAATTATTAACTTACTAATTAATTGATTTATATTTGATTTATTTTATAAAAGTTTTTTTCCAGTATATGAGACGTAAATTTTAATCATTAAAATAATAATACAATTTTATACTTTCGATTAGTATATTAAATAAATATTTTAAATCACCAAGGTGACTGTGAGTATATCAAAGGCGATGTGGAGCGGTATAACGAGTGCGCGAACCGGGATTACGGGGAACACCATAAGCGACTATCCAATCACCGGAGTCACTATAAAAAAGATCGTAAGCAGGGTCATCGAAATTGTTACAAAGACTTTCAAGAGTCCATGCGCTCATTTAACCAGGAGGGTGGCTATAATAAGTTCAATCAGTGCTTCCGTAACAATTTGAACAAGGAACATATTAGACGCTGCGAGAATAATGAATATGAATAAACAAGATTCAGCCAGACCATAAAATTAGATTTTGAAATGCACAATTTTTAATTCCTAATTATTTGTTAAATTTTGTTTTACCTCAATTGTAACCACAAATTGGTTTTGGTAAATTTTTATATATCATGTTAATATGTGAATGTTAATTACCAACTAAATTTATAAAGTAATATTAGTTGAATGTTAATATGGCAATATTAATTAGATATTTCTAAAATTTTTGTTTATTAAATATTTTCTGCATTATTCTATATTTAGTTATTTATAAATGTATTTTATTTTGATTTATAATACAATGATATAAAAGTAAAGATTATGATTAAATACAATTATAAAATTTTTAATTTTTATAAATGTTTTGATTAAAAAAATCAATTAACAAATTCATTATAAAATATAATTAATTATAGCAAATAATTCCTCTAAAATTACTATAAATTATTAAAAGTATTGGTAAGTAATAATAATTGCAATAGAAAAATTATCTGGTACAATTATAATGTAAACTACAATTAGAAATAAATTAATAAGTAAATGAAGCATGTGGCACAATTAAATATAATTAATTATGTTGAAAACAATTTATAAATTATTATATAAAAACACACACAGATACATAAATAAAAATTTCAAATACTTTTGACAATTAAACAAATAAACAAAATAAATGAGCATAAATAAATTATTCTAGTTATTTGTATACTTATAATTTTATTAAAAATAATTTTTTATGATTCTGTATGTTTTAATAATTAAACAATATTTGTACATAATTATTTGGTAATTGAATTGTTGAATATGTGAATATAAAATTGTACTTATCACGGTCAATTTAAATAATGATATTTACACGTGTCTACTTAAAAGCATTGAATGTACATTTTATTTAATTGTTTTAAAATAATTAAATTGAGTCCGTGGTAATGAATCTAAATTACATGTGTACTGTAATTGTAACACGTACAGTTTGTTAATGTGTGTTAGTGTAGTAATTACAATTTGAAAAGTATATTTCTAGGGTTTATTCAGCCATGTAATACAATTAAGTCAAACAAAGTATAGTATCATGATTCACAAACATCATAAAGTATATAAAATATATAAAATATATAATTTATATAAAGCATATAATTTTGTTCCAAGAACCCAAAAGTATAGTTAATTAGTTAAATGAGTCAACATATTTTGATGACCAAGCTTGTTTAAAGTTATTTGTTCAAACTTTAAACATATCCTGTTCAAATTAACAAAATTCATTATAAAATATCAACGTCATTCAAGTAATTAAGTTCACATATCACGCAATAATAGTATATAAATAATTTACTATAAAAACAATTTTATTTGCATATTATTTATAAAGAATAAAATAGTATTCATTCAATAAAATAGTATAATACTATAGAAAGCTATTTTTAAAATCTTTACAATGTCAAACATTACAATGACTTGTACCATGGTTATGGTGGCCATTTCACTGATCGGGGTAACATGCCGTCACCATGGTAGAAATCGGGACTGGAATGATAACTGGAATAACGAATACAGCGAGGACGAACGCAGATATGCCAAGATCATGTTTTGTAGTAAGCTCATTTTTTAAAATTATTAATAAATAATTAATTAGATACTTTTTTTAATAGTAAATCTAAACTCGAATAGCATAAAATATTTTAAATCAGCAAACATATTAGCTATAAATTTTGTTATATTATACATACAAAATTATATTTTTAAATAACCTATTATTATTATTATTGAACGTGCTACAAATATTATAATTTAATTTATTTTGTTTAAACTGTATAATAAAATTTTTCAATTACTGTTAATGCATAATATGATAGGGTTAATTATTTGTATACAAACTATTATTCCTGGTCGTTTCATTTCATAATTATTAATTACTAAAACAATAATAAATTAA